TTTATTTTCTACTTTTTAGTGCATTATTACATAAAAGCTTGTTATTAAAACGTTTTTTATGATTTTTTTTTCAGTACTTCACATGTTTTATTTATAATAGAGTTACATGACTAAAATCGATTGCGCGCCTATTTAACGTGATGACGCGCTTTTGTTGTAGAGCCTCAACCCCCCCCCCCCCCCCCCCCCCACCCGCTCCACGCCCAAGACGGCCGTGATGTCGTGTGTGGATAGAACTGCCTACTAATTCGGTCCGACTTTTAATTAATTCATAAAATATTAATTAGGCGACCAATTAAGTCAAATTGAATGTCACTATGCATTGTCTTCATGTCTTGACCCACGTACCAACTACAAACCGTATCTGTCAGTTAGAAGTGCCTGCAATTTCACACGGGCGTTTTCATCTAGACAGACAGACAGACCGAGGAGGAAGTGAGTGTAATAAAAGCTTGTAAAAATGTAAACAAACCATGCTCTTCACTAAGATCTTGGTCATATTTTTTGGGGCTCGCGTTTATGTACACTACTACTCAGAGGCCCAAGGGCCTGCATTATGAAAGCCATGAGTGTACGTTAATCACCGTATCATATTGGCTCTCTACTCGTCAAATGTCATGTACGTCCGTGATGCTATTTTAGGGTGCTCATTAAAAAGGATGTAAGAGACACTGTGCTCACGTGAGAGCCCGTGGTGCTGCATGGCACACAACTGCCTGAGCTTCGAATGACGGGCCTGATTCGATTGCATTCGCAGCACACATTATCAATAGTGTATCGCACACCTTAAAACGTCTATAGGCGCCATAGTGCCCATAGTATACCTGGGGCGCCTAATCACAAAAAAAAACTTCCTTGGAATATTCTCCCAAAGTCCATGGCGATCGGATGAAATTTGTAGAAATGCACGAAGGACAGACAGACAGGCAGACAGACACATACATACTTTCAATGATATACAGATAGATAAAAATTAAAGTAATATTTTCAGTCAAAAGTTACTACTATTACTATAGAGTGTTATATATATGATTATATATATATGTATACATTTTTACTTTACGTACTTACTTTGTCCTTTCTGCTCCTTATGGAACATACGGCCTCCACCATTTCCTTCCATTTCACCCGATCCCCGGCTAATTTTGTCATCTCCCAAGACATCCCTGTTGGCTTCAGTTCTTTTTGAAGACTCAGCCTCAAGGTCTGTCTTGGGCGCCCTCTCTTCCGCTTTCCCTGGGGTTTCCACTCAAGCGCTTTGGGTGTAACATTTGGGTGAGCATTTTGCAGTGTGTGACCCACCCAGCGCCACTTCCTCCTTCTTATTTGCACAGCCAAATGCTCCTGCCTAGCTTTCCTCCATAGTTCTATGTTCGGCACTTTGTCCTGCCATCTCAATTTCAAAATCTGTCTAATGCATCTGTTCATGGAGGTCTGTATTTTCGCTGCGCTTGCTTTAGAGTCTCTGAATGTCTTTGCTCCATATAGCAATTTTAATATATTTAAATGATATGCATTTGTTTCTTAATATTTCAGGTGTATCTAACAGGGACCTACCTAAGCTACAAGAGTTTCATCTTTGAATTCACGTCCAAGGCCAACACCAACATCCACTTCAACCCTCACTACGATCCTACCCTTGGGTACAGCTACATCATCATGAACTCCAGGGCGGGGAAAAGTTGGGGTGCAGAGAAAAGAGCCCGCCCTAGCCCGTTTTCCTTCCAAGTGAACAAAACGGCTCAGGTCTACATTTTGGTGCAGAAGGATAGATTTGTTTTCTACGTCAACGGCGTGTATGTCTGTGACTTCGCTCATGTGTATCCCTACACGCAGATTGATACACTGAACGTGTACAACGGTTTTAAAATAGATGAAATCAGTTTTTCATAATCCACGGTCATCACAGTTTATTATGTATTTATTTATTTAATCTAATATCAAAACCAGTAGTTGTTTTTTGAAGTTGTTTTTTTTTAATTAATTAAATAAATACAACCTAAGTTACCCTGTAACCACCTCTTATTCTGTTTATAATATATTTTTTAAAAATTGTATGGAATCAAATTCCTCTATATGATTATAACTAATAACAGTTTTATTTTTAATATCGTTACGTAATTAAATTTTTAAATGCAATTATCAATGTAAGTATGTGAATTCGAAATTAATATCATTGACAACGTGTAGTTTAAAAAAAATTGTTCCGTAATTATAGTGCTGGGGAATTATGTTCAATAAAACTAAACATGTTTGAATGTAGGCTAAATAATTGTTGTAATCGTTTTACAAAAATAAGCTGTACTTAATATAGTATATTTACTTCCTAATCATAGACACCATACTGTAATTAATAATTAAAAAGTTTTTCTTATGAGAAATGCTTTAAACATGTAGAATATTTTTGAACAGTAGAATGCATTGTCTGATCAGGCAAATAAGAATTTTGGCTTAAGATTAATCTTGTAAGTCATATTGTATGGCGCCTAACATTTAAAAAAAAAAACTAATAAGAGTAAATACACCTCCTGTAATTAATGTATCCGTGTTTGCCTCGTTGTCATATTTGAAAAAACAACATCTAAACAAATAGACAATGGTGGTGTTACATGAATAACAACCAAATACGCTGTATTGACAAAGAAAAAAAATCTGAGTTTAGATTTGTTGTAAGCATCAAAACCAATAATTGTTTGTTAAAAAATAGGATCTGTTGATCGAATGCACGAATTTCCTAGGTTTGAATCACAAGTCATTTTTTTAATAATTTTAACACTACGCAGACGGGCATTTCCATTGATGTAATAGAGTGACCGTAGTCCCAGGATCGGTTACCGACTGTTCTGTACCTTGATCTCCAGTCTCAGAATCGGTTCACATGTGTTCTAGTGCTTGATCACCAAACCTACGGATTGGCTCTCCTTCTCTATAGCATCCAGACACAACGTCCAGAATATAAAGACATCGTACGAACAGTCAGGAAGAAAAGACTCAACAAGGATGTTGTCAGTCAAAAGCTATGTTAACACTGACATTGACTTCCTAAATTATTTTTAAATGCAATCTCGAATGTTCACAATTTCTGAATGACATATTTTTATCATTTCATAATGGTATGACATAGTACAAAAGACGAAAAAATATTACTCAAAGTATAATTCAAAGTTTAACTCAAAGTATAATTCAAAATATAACGCAAAGTATAGCTCAAAGTATAATTCAAAGTTTAACTCAAAGTTTAACTCAAAGTTTAACTGAAAGTATAATTCAAAAAATTGTGTGTAGCTCAGCAATGAATTCCCAAAAGTCATTCCTGATTTTTAAATTTTAAGTCAGCTCACTAAAAGGACGTTTTTAAAGATCAAGTCGTATCGTCTCTCTCATACAAGAGACGAATAATTTATAACATTTGCCATGTAGTAACACGTGTGTTCTTCAAAAACTAAACTTATTTAATACGACACATTTATTCATTTTTCATTTTTTTGTTGCACTGTATATTGACGTTCCGTTTTTTTTTTTCACTGTGTTGAAACACGTAGGCTGTTATTCACGCAGTTAATTATGTAATTTAATCAGGCCTATATCATCACTCATGGCTATGGTAGAAATGTTTCTAATCTCTTGAGTATCAAGTCGGATTGAATAAAGCAGCCACAGACTAAGTGAATTACATATTTAGAGCACTTTAGGAAAACAATGCATCCATACAGCTTGACGGTCCATGTGTGGTCTTGACTGTCAAACTACCTTCTTCCAAGCTGAATTTTTTTTTCTTCGAAATCAAGACTTCAAGTTGAGTCTACGTCTCTCTACACATCATCTGTACATCGGTCGACTGTGTGGTCATTCCCCTTTCGTTATACACTACATTCACTTGAGTTGTGACGTTGTTGAAAGAAGAATTACACGTTGCAGTTTAGTTTTGTAGCAGATAGCAAAGCCACAACTGTGGTTTTATAGCTTCGTTAGTGAGATTTCGAACTGATAAAACTTTTTGTTTCGCTTGGGAAATTTAAAAATTGGATACCTTCAAGTTTCCAGATTTATCGAATACTGATAATGTTTTTGTTGTAAAAACAAGCGAACAAATATTTAATCACACATAACAATTGTGTCCATTATTTTTTAACAAAAGCTGTGCCTTGGTTAATTCGCAGATTACAATTTTTCGCAATCCCGTTTGATCGATATCTTCAGAACAAAGCTCTGCCCCAGGCCGCCAACTTTGTCGGTGTTTGACGTCATTTTTCTGTCGTCTGATGAGAGCTGTATTGATTTCAAGCACGTATCATGATAACGTTTAAACATTTTTTAAACTACGTCATGTAGTTAGTTTCTGTTTGATTTGTGGTTTAATGCCTAAGGGTTTTTACGAGTGATTAGTCAACTTATTGTATTCTACTTTTTTCTTCAAACGTTGTTTTATAATCGCAATAATTGTCAATGTTTTATTAGCTGATGTTTGTTGGAACTTGATACAATAGTAGGCTGATTGGTCGCTTGTATCTTAGCGAGAATTGATACATCGGTCTGATCTTGTTTGTTGAGATAATTAGGTAGGTTTCAGCGTAAGCTAGCAGATCCCTCTTTTTTGATACACTCAAGTTTCATTCAGTGGTCCTCTAGTTGATATATTAGAGTTTCATCCATGGTCCTCTTATTGATACATTAGAGTATGATTCAGTGGTTCTCTTGTTGTTAGTTTGGACCACATTGTAATTGTGTGGCTATCTTATCTGATAGTGACCAGACTTTAACAATACCTTTACCAGAACTGTTACAGTTCTTTTCTTAGCACGCAGAAGTAATCAAGGTCAAAATCTATTGATATTAGCGCAAGTTTTGTTCAGTAAATTATGTGTAAGTCATTACTATATGCGTGAACGTGTAATTGCGAACCAACGAGAAAAATGATCTTCCTACAGTAGAAAGGACAACTGAAGTTTTAGATATTTTACACATTTCACATTCTTGTTTTGATCATCCACAAATCCAAAATGGATAACCAGAGCACCTTCTCATCCAATTCATCACTTATCCAGACTAATATCCAGACGGATATCCAGACACTCTACCTAGACCCGCGACTCCTTGATGCCTTCCTGTTGTTTAATTTATTCGTCAGCGGAACTGCGGGGTTTATGGGTATTATCGGCAACGTCATCAACATCATCGTCTTCTACAAGCTGGGCTACAGCGACAGCGTCAACATCGCGCTGACCGCTCTTGCCATCAGCGACATAGGGGCGCTAGTCACCTTACAGGTGTTCAACGTGCTGGCCGCCCCGTGGTTCCTGATGCTGGACCTTGGCTTCAACGTTAGGGACATGGTGCTGCTGGTCGCCTTCTACCCACACAACTACTTCATCCGTGTCTGCGGGTTCATTACAGCCTACGCCTCTCTTGAACGCTGCATCTGCGTTGTCAGTCCTTTGAGGGTTAAACAAATTTTAACCAACAAAACCGCGGTTGTGACGATTATTTTAATATTTATTCTTACAACTTTTGATTTATTTCCTCTGTATTACACAATATACCTTGATTGGAGTTTGGCGCCGTCTACCAATAAAACAATACTACACATCGCGTTCCGTCAGTTTTCGCACTCAGTGTTCAACATCTCGTACTACATCAACGACGTGACGGCGCCGTTCATCACCTTCTCCGTCATCATCACCAGCACCAGTATCATCGCCGTCCGGCTGAAGAGCCAGGCAAGATGGCGGCAGTCCATGAACGCGGTCAAGTCGGAGGGCGGGATCTCCAGCCGGGAGAGGAAGGTGGTCGTCATGCTGTGTACCATCTCCATTATGTTCGTCATCTGCCTCATCCCCCAGTCCACCATCCTGACTGCCGTCAGCTTTGTGCCAGTGTTGAGCTACGGACAAAAGTACTTTGACATCGCTCTGATGGGATACTGCGTGTCTTATTTCTCTGAGACTACGTTATCCAGCGCCAACATTCTCATCTACCTCAAGATGAGCCAGAAGTATAGGGAACAGTTCTCTATTTTGTTTAGGGGAAAGTAGTCAAAAGTAAAGGGAACAGTTATCTATTTTGTTTAGGGGAAAGTAGTCAAAAGTAAAGGGAACAGCTCTCTATTTTGTTTAAGGGAAAGTAGTCAAAAGTAAAGGGAACAGTTCTCTATTTTGTTCAGGGGAAAGTAGTCAAAAGTAAAGGGAACAGTTCTCTATTTTGTTTAAGGGAAAGTAGTCAAAAGTAAAGTGAACAGTTCTCTATTTTGTTCAGGGGAAAGTAGTCAAAAGTAAAGGGAACAGTTCTCTATTTTGTTTAGGGGAAAGTAGTCAAAAGTAAAGGGAACAGTTCTCTATTTTGTTTAGGGGAAAGTAGTCAAAAGTTAAGGGAACAGTTCTCTATTTTGTTCAGGGGAAAGTAGTCAAAAGTAAAGTGAACAGTTCTCTATTTTGTTTAGGGGAAAGTAGTCAAAAGTAAAGGGAACAGTTCTCTATTTTGTTTAGGGGAAAGTAGTCAAAAGTAAAGGGACCAGTTCTCTATTTTGTTCAGGGGAAAGTAGTCAAAAATTAATCGAACAGTTCTCTATTTTGTTTAGGGGAAAGTAGTCAAAAGTAAAGGGAACAAATCTCTATTTTATTTATAGGAAAATAATCAAAAGGAAATGGAACAGTTCTCTATTTTGTTTAGGGGAAAGTAGTCAAAAGTAAATGGAACAGTTACATTACTAGATCAAAATTGGTCAAATATAGAAGGAACAGTTCTCTATTTTTTTCAGATGACGTACGTGCAACAGTTACCCATTTTGTTCATGAGAAAGTAGTTAAAAGTACAAGGAAAAATTCTTTATCGTATCATGTAGACCATTCAATTAATACTTTGTTTTGTTTTTAATATAAATAATATTGTGCAGATAAAAGGCTCCTATATAGATTTATTTCAAATGTGATTTTGGCATTTAATATGTGTAGATTGTAAATGTCACTTATCAAACCACTTTATCAGATGTTTACAAACAACGTGTAGCATTATGACTTTCACCAAGTATTGTTTGTTACGCATATTTTAGTCTCTCCACAAACTTATAAACGTCTTCTGATGGTTGACATGGTACGTTTGCTTGCATTTATGTTTTGCTAGATTTACCTGCCTGTATTAATTTAATTACCATAGCTCTTACATTTTCTATACAAACTACAATAGTGGTTTTGTTATGAATATTAGTTTCTGGCATCTTTCAATAGTATTTGAGGTTTGATAGGTACACACCTAGGAGAGAAAACTCCTAAATCTAACACACGATGTCTTGTAGTTTGTTTGTTTAAACGAACCCAGGCTATGGAAACGAATTTTGAAAGAAAAGCAGACATAAGTAAGAGATAAAGAGCCATAAGGCGCATACCATGTTGACAAATAAAATTTAACGACGTAGGAGGAAATTACAAATAACAATGTAAAAAGAAGAACACGAAAAGTGATTCAATGGCAAGTATTATGGAAGCTATGTGTTTAGAAAGTCCCAGAACGTGGACAAGGTTTAATACACTTCGATAAAAATGTAGCTTATTTAATTGTTGCTCACTGATTGCGGGTTTAAACGTATTTTATTTTTGGGACAGCGTGGCCTAAGCGGCAGAGCGCTAAGCTGCTAACCCGTAACTCTCAAGTTTGAACCCGAGTCTAAGTCACTAGAACGTCCTTGAGTCCACCCAGCTCTGGTGGGTAACTAACTCATGTTAGGGAAAGTAAAGGTGGCTGGGCAAAATGCTAACCACACCTTTCCGTCATATGCCGAGGTCAAGAAACAATGAATTCTACTTCTTCTGCCCAATGGATCGCTAGATCTGAAAAGAGATCTCCTCCAACACAATTAAGATTTACGTGTCAACTGGTTTTGCGCCATTGAGGCCATTGACTCTGATTTCAGCCTGCTTTTCTTATTTGATTTGCTTCCACAGCCATTGTCCAACCAAGAACAAACTACATGGCAGCAGTTGTTTGATTTTGGAGTTGTCTCTTCTTCAGCAGTGGCTGTCCACAGCTAACGAGCCTCATCTGCCCGAGTGTTCGAACTCGAGACTTTTCTGTTGAGCTGCCATGAGCTTTACTCGACAACTCCGACCCCTATACTCATTTCCATTTTCCCTTTTTAATTATTACCATCTTTTAAACTTTTCTCTTTGTTCGTGTAATGTAGGTCTATTCCACGAAAGGCTAATTATGTGGTAGAGGCCACCCTTAATTAAATGTATATGCTTTTTTTTTACTGTTTCCAACTCTGTGGTTCAAGAGTTTAATAATAATCCTGATATTTGCTTTCGTAGCTATTTTTTTTTTTTTTGGACTCCAAGTTAATATAGTTTCCTTTCTTAGTATTTTTATATGCTTGTAATTAAGGTATTTACTAGATTATAGTAAGAGACTATAATCACATAACTATGTTCTCTATTTGTGAAAATTTAAAACTTCGACGTAAAATCACACACTAATCGATTGTTGTAGTGATTTGATCTAAGAATTGTGCAAATTTTGTTCTTTTAGTGAACGTTTTATTTCATCGAATGTTTCGATGCATTATGTATACATTAATTGCAGGCTTGTTCATTGAGACGTTTAGATTAAAAAGTCGTATTTAGCTTGATTTATTTTACCTACCCCACAACCTAATTTATTATTTAAATAAACCGGGAGTAATCTTCCCTAAACTTTCTCGGTTATTCTAATATAAAACTACGAGGGATGGCAACTCAGGACGTAAACAATCTTTGTAAACAATTTTAAATTACTTAAACTTTTTATAATAGAATGTAATCTCGTAAAAAAAAAAAGAATTGCACACTAAGTAAACGCCTAATAAAATGTGCATAATAGTGCTGGATATTATTAGTACTTTATAAATTTACGTGCGTTTTTTGAGAAATCGGAAATCGGAAATAGCGTGAATTAGTACTTCCGGTCAATTTGACAGAAGGTAGAGAATTAGATCTTTTACTTACATGTGAAATTTCATTTATCTATCTGTAATAGTACTCAAGTTATAGACTTTTGAATAATTCAAAGTAGAAAAAGTACCACTTCCGGTAATTGGAAATCGCTCAAAAGTTGATACGGATCTACGATTTTGATAAAATACTTATATATGAAATTTCATCAACCTAGCTGTAACGGTACTCAAGTAATCGTGTTTACACACAGACACACAGACAGACACACAGACATACGGACAAGATTGCAAAATTATGTTTTTTCGTATCAGTGAGGTGTAAAACGTCGAGATTTGTAAAAATCTCTTTTTTTCACGATTACAGGATTTTCTCTACACTTCGTATATACGAGAAAGTAAAAATTGAGACAGTTGTTCATGTTTTATTCTAAGTGCAGGTAATATATTTATAGGTATAGTTCTAGATAGTGTTTTACAAGATAATGACAATAATGTCAAACTTAATCAAGTTTATACATATGTATACATATATATATATATATATATATATATATATATATATATATATATATATATATATATATATATATATACACCATACTATACTTCTACAAATAGGCCTACTTGTTTATAATTGTATATACATATATATATATATATATATATATATATATATATATATATATATATATATATATATATATATATATATATATATATATATACTTATATATATATATATATATACATATATATATACATATATATATATATATATATATATATATATATATATATATATATATATATATATATATATATATATATATATATATATATATACATATATATATATATACATATATAGTAAAATGATAGTAAAGCAAACCATTACAATGATGGGCATAAAAAAAAACCGTATACGTAGATTACAGAAGAGAAAGAATTGTATCGGTTTTAGACCAATTAACGTTTGAACATAAAACTAGCAACATTGAAGCTCTGTTGCTGTATATTAAACTCTGTGAAAGTATGCTTGCCAAATATTAGTAGACTCAGTCCTGCTACATAACGAAGTTGATAACTTAATAAGGAGAGAACAAAAGGCTCTGACCATCATTCTGACACGGCTGCTATTATGATCGCTATCTGACAGCCACAGATCAGGCGAACACCCCGGGTTCGTTTAAATGTAATTATAGTCAGAGATTCACTAGACGGTATGAACACAACAAAAATACTACGTGGGCTCGTCAAAAACTATCTAGGGGAGTAGACACGTAGAAATGATGCGACTCATAACTAGGCGTAACTGTCAACTAGTGTTTAATAAGTGTACAAGTATAAATAAATGACACTGGTCTATACTAAGATATAATAGAAACTAAGAGTAATAGTAAACCAAAAAATCAGATATCTCAAAGTTAATTAAATAAATCTCTAAACTAGATAACAAATATCACCGATGTGACATTGGTGAGATAATACACCTAGGAAAAATATTAGAAACACTGCAATGGCCACAAAACACCTATAATAAGGAAATAAAATGCCGCCGCAAACTAAGCAACTCAAAATGGCGTCACACACACACACGGCACTCTCTAGGGTCCAAAGCTGCCTCGAGACTTGCCGTGCACGGGTTTATATACAAGATCAAAACCAAAGGAGGTTACTTTAATGTCGTAAGACCATTGGTCGAGGATCTGCTAAGGATCGGAACAACCAATTAAAATCTCATCACATGACGTGACGGAGAAGTTCAGGTGACCGTACAACTCTCCCAAGGTCGATACTTAAACCTGGAAACTAAATTATATAAGGAAAGAAAAAACCTAAGTAGGTCACACTGCATACATAGCTCTAATAAAACTTTTAATGAAAATACTTTTCACAAACACCATGAATTCAATGTGCTAGTGCAGTAATTAATTACTTGACAATATATGATAAGAGCAATGTAGGAACAAACATTTGCATCGTAAACTGGAAGCATTTATGCAATATGTTCGGTTATATGTTTAATCATTTCCTAGATAATCACAATGAATAGCATCAGTGACGTAGCGAGGGGGGGGTGCTGACCGCACCTGTTGACACCATTTAGGGGGGGGGGGTGACACCAAGGCAAATAAACCGGGAGTGATCTCCCCTAAAAATTTCTCGAATATTCTTATATAACTCGGAATATAGAAATGATTTTAAATTACTTTTAAAAATAGAATAGAATCTCGTAGAAAAAAAATTGCGCACCAAGCGAACGCCAAAACAAAATCTGCATAATAGTGCGCAATATTATTAGTACTTTATAAATTTACATGCGTTTTTTAAGAAATCGAAAATAGCGTAAATTAGTACTTCCGGAAATTACTCAAAATTTGACGGAAGGTAGAGAATTAGATCTTTTACTTACATGTGAAATTTCATTTATCTAGCTGAAATAGTACTCAAGTTATAGGCTTTTGAAACATTCAAAGTAGAAAAAGTACCACTTCCGGTTATCGGAAATCACTCAAAAGTTGATCAGGATCTACGATTTTCATAAAATACTTATATATGAAATTTCATCAACCTAGCTGTAACGGTACTCAAGTTATCGTGTTTACACACAGACAGACACACAGACACACAGACATACGGAAAAGATTGCAAAATTATGTTTTTCCGTACCAGTGAGGCGTAAAACGTCGAGATTTATAAAAAATCTCGATTTTTTTTTTTTGCACGATTACAAGACTTTCTCTATACGAGAAAGTAAAAATAGCAAAATATATAGAGAAAAATGATAATTACACTTAATTAAGTGATCAGTTCGAGTTTTAAATAGTCTTTTAAGAGCAAATGTGACAAATCCCGACAAGTGGGGGGGGGGGGGGGGGGGGGGGTTGGCGTAAATCGAAAATTGAAAGTTTGTCCCCGGGTGCCGGGAAGGGTCGCTACGCTTCTGCGGGGTGACACCATTAAGTGTCGCACCGGGTGACACCCGACCTCGCTACGCAACTTAATAGCATGAATTAAATTGTTAATATAAAAATATATTAAAAAAATTATTTTTATTTACAAACTATTTAGTTACATGAGAAAGTCTACACGGACTAGCTGAGCTATTGATCAAGTTCATTTTTACAATCAATATTTTTATTTATTCAAGTTCAGTTATCGAGATTTACAAATTATTTTTAAAAATATCAAGCCACTGCCGATCAAATCAGTTCAGGTATATTTGTTCTAATTTACTATGTATACATATTCTTTGTGAAACCTATCCGTGCTGTCTGTATTAAATTAAAGCTTCTATATGAAAGAATAATACAAGTGCAAGCACTTGTGGATATAAAAAATATATAACTATCTTTTCGTTTTACAATATAATTCTAACTCTATTTCAAAATAAATAATTATAACCAAAACAGTTTTACATCTGACGAAACGTATCACGTATTCTGGTTCCGCTATTTAAGGAAGCAATAAAATAAAATTTCACTCATTCAATAGTATGCCTGTGGCCTTTTTTACAATGGGAGTTAGAATAATATAAAAACAATTAAAACATTGTATACAAGTTTCTTTTGCAATTACATGTATTTCACAGTTAGCCGTTTCTTCACTGGCTAAAAAAAGTTTAGTTCATAAACAAAAATTAATAGTTGCTTTCAAATAAAAATTTTACAATAAGGTTTAAAATCGTGTAATATTAAGTGAAATATACTAACACCGCTTATATGTTAATAAAAACTTTTTTTTTAATTCTAATGAAAGTTTTTGAGGGCTTTTAGTGCTTTTCAAATTGATTCTAGTATTAAAAAAAAAGAAATTATCAGAACATTTAAAACCGTTGTAAAAAATCTGAATTACAGAAACAAGCATTCAAAAACAACACTAACGTTAGACAGATTTGATGTGCTTCAACTTTCACTGACATATATTTAGCAGAATGTCGTGTTAACAAACTTGGGAGATTCATTGCTTGTAACGGCAGTTCATTTTTCACGCTTATCATTCGATTATAAACACTTTGGAATAAAGAAGAGGCTGGAAAAACAGAGAAAACAATTTTTAAAATAATATAAAAACATTTTACTAACAGATGTTATTAATTTTTGTTGGTTAGAAATATCTACAATAATACCGTTTAAATCAAATCAGAAAAGAGCAGAAATGCAAACCTAGAGAACCGTGACTTGTGTTGGTGGAGCTAGATCTGAACACTTGGAAGCTGCCTAATAATTCCTCTCTCAGCTTCAGGAAGCTCTTCTTTTGACTTTTACACCACGTTTGCACTTCCAATAATCTGTTTCTTAATAATTTTAGATTTTTTAGTTGTTCCAAAACGGAGACATCATCCGCTTTTAATAGTTCTAATTGTATTTGGGCAGTTAAGTTTTGATACTTTTCTTCTAAGATTTGACACTTCTCTTTGATCTTATAAGTCCCTTCAACTAAACTACTACCTAAATTGAGAATTTCTTTCAACTCGTCAATAAAAAGTATGTTTATAGCTTCATCAGTTTCTGTGCTGTTAATCCATAGTTGGCACTTTTTACTTGCATCCAGGCTAACATCAGAATCTGAATCGTTTAACACGTTTAAACCGAAAATATTTTTTTCAGGGATATTATGTGTCTGTTTAGTGTCACATTCTAATTTTAAAGAAAAATTTAAGTTTTTGGGACGCTCTGAAATTTGGTTGGCTGATGTACAGTTTTCTAGTTTAAAGCTGGTTTTATGTAAGTTAGTTTTCCAATGCAAATACTTGTAAAGAACGATTATTAATAATGTAATTGTTATTGATGAAAGGGTTTTCAAACTGACATAGTCTTGTAGAAGTGGTAAAATAAAGTTGTCGATTAACACAAATAGTGCCAAATAGAAAGAAAGAGATATCATTTTTTCCCGCTGCATACTAAATTTGTAAACAAAAGGATATATTTTATTAAATTTTTATTTTAAAATATATATTGAAACTATATCAAAGGATCCACAGTATCCACATTTATAATCACAGTGGCTCGGTGCTGCAAATAAATATAGATAATAAGTTAATGCAAAATATATTAATTAAAACATTTATAAAATATCTGAAAAAAAATGTTAGTTTTTGCTTAAGCTAATAATTTTATCTCTAAAATTGCATATTCTATTTAGAAGCTCACATCTCCATGATATGAAAATGAGTATTACTATAAAATTAAGTCTTGGATGCTTACAAAATAATATCAATTAAAATTAACAAGCCGATCCGCGGCATATTATGAGCTGCTATTTAGTTGTTTCATTTTCTACTTTTCAGTAATTCATAATTTGTGCTTTAAAACACTATCAGTAGGTCGTTAAGGACAATACTACCCCCACCCTCCTTTCCCCCAACCCCTACCCTACACCCCCTCCACCCCCCCCCCCCCCGTGAAAGCAGCCTCCTCTTAGTTACCTCCCCTAAGTTTAAAATCGTTTCAAACTAAATTACCTGCCCCTAATAGCCGTCACTAAACCCGACTCTACGTGAACCACAGCTCACCAGGCCATGTAGGGGTGGGGGTGGTAGCTTGTTTTCTAGCGTCTCCCAGAAGAGAATTATATATATATATATATATATATATATATATATATATATATATATATATATATATATATATATATATATACAGATAGATAGGCCTATAATAATTTAAAAAAAACAATCCTTATAATAATAAAATGTTAAATGCACCTAAAATTAAAAATATTTATAAAAATAAATAAAACTTGCTTTCTTTGTATGTATATAAAAGGTAAAAGTTGTAACGTAAGTCGATACAACAGTTACGGTGGGGCTGATATAGCAATTTACTCCTGAACGGAATGAATTTATTTTTACAAAACTGATGCATTATAGCATAATGAAGGTTTTTGCAAACTAGTTTTACCGATCACGATATAGCAACATTGCACACAGCACTAGAATGAAGTTTAATGCCCTATTATGTATATCTAGTAGCCTGGAAGGCTGAACTCGATAATTGTAAATATAGTAAAAATAGTCTAGCCTAGTCACCAGACCTCTGTGTAACCAGTGGTAACATAAAAACAAGTACAACGGCCTACTTACTTGACTAGGGCCACCTACACTTTTTTATTATAACATTGTAAATTTCCAACTATTACCATCGATCAAACTAGTAGATCTAGGCTACTAGTCGAATTTCCTATCTTAACAAATAGATTTTGTATTATTTTGAATTATTTAAGACTATTACCATCTAAAATGTCTTCTCTCGCGTAGCCTGCATCGATAACCTGTGTATTGCCGCCATTTTGTTATCTGGATATGGTATTGAAATCAGGTTTTTCCGATTTCACTTCCCTAATGTTATAGTGTTTACACAATATAGAGGGGATCGATATATTTATGCACAGTGACGTAGCTGGTTAGTGGCATTAAAAATGTTCGTTATCTCACGTTATGTTACAAATGTCGGCGACAGTGTGTTCTTTATAAATAATCGAATTAGTGGGCCCATGGTACCCCTTAAAATAAAGAAGAAAAATAAACGATTTCCTAATATAGTAAAGTAGGCCTATTGAATTAAGCGCTGGTCGTTCATGGAAATCAGTTGCCAATAATTAGTAATACTACACCAAATATTTTTAGCAATGCAATGTATTTGAATGAAAGTGCAGTATAAGTGTTTAAAAGTAGCCTATATTTTATTACTAGTTACATAGGGTAAATAAATTGCTTGAAGGCCATTTTTACTTTCTCGTATATACGAAGTATAGAGAAAGTCTTGTAATCGTGCAAAAAAAAAAATCGAGATTTTTGCAAATCTCGACGTTTTGCATCTCACTGATACGGAAAAACATAATTTTGCAATCTTGTCCGTATGTCTGTGTGTCTGTGTGTGTGTGTGTGTGTGTGTGTGTGTGTGTCCGTGTGTAAACACGATAACTTGAGTACCGTTACAGCTAGGTTGATGAAATTTCATATATAAGTATTTAATCAAAATCGTAGATCCTGATCAACTTTTGAGCGATTTCCGATAACCGGAAGTGGTACTTTTCCTACTTTGAATTTTTCAAAAGCCTATAACTTGAGTACTATTTCAGATAGATAAATGAAATTTCATACGTAAGTAAAAGATCTAATTCTCTACCTTCTATTAAATTTTGAGTCATTTCCGTTGACTGGAAGTAGTACTTTACGCTACTTCCGATTTCTCAAAAAACTAATGTAAATTTTAAAAGTAATAATAATATTGCGCACTATTATGCGCTTTTTTATTTCGCGTTCACTTGGTGTGCAATTAATTTGTCTACGAGATTTTATTCTATTTTTAAAACTTTAAGTATTTAAAATGGATTAAAAATCATGTCTATAGCCCGAGTTCCCATCCCCTGTTATTTTATATAAGAATATTCGAGAAAGTTTAGGAGAGATCACTCCCGGTTTATTATTTATAATGATTTACCTACCTATTCCCAGAATTTCTTTCAGGCATCTCTACGTGGGCGGGGGGAGCGGGGGTTCTCTACCCCCCCCCCCCACCACTCTCCCCGAAGAAAGTCTACTCCCCCCGAACGAAATCGGATTTATATAGAGTACATTTATTTTAACCAGTGTCCGCCCCCCGGAAAATATTGTCCGTCCGCCCGAAAATATCAAGTGCCCCCCCCTCCCCCGTAGAAAAAAGTCTGGAAGAAACACTGCCTATTGCCAAAACGTGATATAATATAAGCTATTCCGTATAGTTGTATAAGTAGCAGAGCTTTATTATGTTCAAAAATTAGTAAATTCATAAATAAAATGAATTTTTTAAAAATTGTTTTATAAAAGGTTAATGGCATTTTTCACAAATATTTAACTTAAATATGCAACACTCACACGTTGCATATGTTAGGTAACGCCACTTATACGCCAGGGCTAATAGGTGACGTCAATCATACGTCACATCGAACAGCTAACATAACACTTGATACAAGATTTAACTGAGGTGATTAATTAAAATGTCATAATTGATTTAAGTCTATGTATACTTCTTTCGCTTTTTTTTTACAAGAACTACCACGTCACAAATACTACGTTACGACTCTAACAGATCAAAAAAGAGATCACAAATATGTACCAACATCATATTACAAACTCATTACACTATCACATCAACTTTGATAAGTGATGCATATGCAAAAGCACATGATTATAGTTATATATATATATATATATATATATATATATATATATATATATATATATATATATATATATATATATATATATATATATATATATATATATATATATATATATATATATATATATATATATATATATATATATATATTGTTACGACTCCCTTCTCTAATCCTTTCGAACTAGTCAGGGAATCGTAAACAAGAAGAAAAATAAAAATAAATAAACGCCAACTTCAGTAATCTCTATTTATTTCCACAAATTACGACACTTAAAGTTAACCCGCCACCGAAGTACAACAATCAGATATTATACACACTTAGTTACAAACAACTAAAGTTCTTAGTACGACTACCCTACTTGTCCCTAACTGTCTAACTAGCCTAGGTCTACTACAGTACAGGCATCTCTTGGCTGTCCACTAGCTCACAGAGACGCCCCATGTCTGTCTCCTCTAGACCTAGCTATCCGAGTCCGTCGGTGTGTGACTCGTGAGTGTTGACTGAGTGTTCTGACCCTGACTGTCTGTCCCCAGTCTACCCCTCCTTAAATAACGGTCTCCTTTCTTTGTCTTCATCCAGCCTAACCTAATTCGTACGTCGCCACAGTTCTGTGGTACCTAATTAAAAGGTCAGACCCTACTGATAACTTCCTAGATTTTCCTCCAATCCGCCCGCCATACTGTCTCCCCTAAGGTCACATAGGTCAATAAGGCTGTCACCAGTAATTAGAATCTAACATAATTATCATCACCCCTACCCCTTTAATAGGGTTAACTCAGGTAGGGATCCACTTGGATCGTAACAATATATATATATATATATATATATATATATATATATATATATATATATATATATATATATATATATATATATATATATATATACATATATATATATATATATATATATATATATATATATATATATATATATATATATATATATATACATATATATATATATATATATATATATATATATATATATATATATATATATATATATATATATATGCATATATATATATATAATATAATATATATATATATATATATATATATATATATATATATATATATATATATATACATATATATGAGTGTGTCGGCTATATATATATATATATATATATATGCATATATATGTATATATATATATATATATATATATATATATATATATATATATATATATATATACATATATATATATATATATATATATATATATATATATATATATATATATATATATATATATATATATATATATATATATATATATATATATATATACATATATATGAGTGTGTCGGCTCGGACAGGTGATCGTTGAACAAAATCTATCGTCAAATACCAAGATGTGATTGATTTTGTAATTTTTTTCTGTCGCTCCAATATATTTCTCTTTCTAAACATGTATTTATGTTTTCAATGAGTTTCATACTGCTTACAATCTCCTTCTCTATAGAGTAGTATAGAGACTAGATCACAGAAACAGGTTACCACTAGTACTACTTCATCTGCTATAAGGACCGTCGTTTTTGAATGGGTAACTTTAAGGGCAAAATTAATTCTTTCCAAAGTTTTTTCCCCGTAGAGTTATACCCTCACTCTGAGAGCTAGGGGTAAGTTTAGGTTTATAATTAAGGTCAAGGTTATGTAGGCCTATATAAGCAGTGATAGGGTTAAGAAATATTCTGAAAGTGTAAGGTGTTTTTTACATTATCCAAATGTCCCACTGTTCTATAACATGCAGTTTCTATTTAAATGTACTATAAATAGTTTTTATCGAGCTGACTAGATGGGTGTGGGGGGGGGGGGGGGAGGGTGTACGCACCATGTTGATTATGGCAGGGTGGTAATGATTGGAGGTGATTGACATTGGTCATTGTCCTAGAGTCATTAATAACAAACAGTATAACAAGCGACGTTAGATAAACAGTCGCAATCAGACCAACATATGTAAGAGAACTTTCGTGTGACATTTAATAAAAGAATTAATAAAGTAACATTATAAAAGGGTTTATATAAATTATAATAAACACTACAAAAATGTAAATATGCAAGCCACATAAAAAGATAGAATGTATTCATTGTGTTTTTATTTGATAATTAAATTAAAAATTTAGACAGAGCTACGAGTAAAGACAAATGTGCATAGTCGTGAAGTATTGAATAACTGAATATGGAAGATAGCTGCCTTTACAATGGTATAGTATTGTCATGGGGTTTTATTGGCTTAATAGATAACTATGAAATTTTCTAGAAGTCAAGCCCTAACATTAACTCTACAGTCGTATCTTTCTAACGCTGTTTGTATTACACTCTTATCATTCCGCACCGGCCTACATTTTGTGTAGACCACATCCATGCAAAGGTACGAGCTAGTTAGTGTATCATTCCGCCCGTCAACATAATGTATAGACAGATGGAAACTGCCACCGTGGAGAAAGAAGATGTAGTAAAGCTTTGATCGATAAATGTTCCTCTTTTGTTAACTATCATTAGAGTGAGTATCATTTCGGCTGTACATGTAACATATATGGCACCATTTTATACCTACCGCAACTTGGGAGGAAATGTTTTAAACTGTTTATATTTTAATTATATAGTATTTTGATTTATGACAGAAAAAAATTTCAAAATGTCCACATGAGTGTATGTATTTTAAGTTTAAATCATTGTTTGCATTAATGGTAGCCAAACAATTTCACAAGTGATCTTATTAGGTTCAAGAAAATTATACTCAATACAAAAAAGCACTGTTTGGAAGCAGCAGAGCGTGACAGGCGTGGCATCAACTTGAGGTAGATGTCGACACGTCGAGATTGAAGACAACTGACCAGATATTTCTGTAAGCTCCAGTCATCCAGATCAATCTCCGCGTTGTTGTCGATTAGTTTTCTCACGACCTCATCGTGTCCATAAAGAGCAGCCAGATGAAAAGCTGTAGAGCCTCGCTCTTGCTTCAGGTTTAAATCAGCTCCTGCTTCAATTAGAGCGCCAATGTTGTCCACGTTCCCAA